TATATATATTAGGAGTTTTTTTTTTTTTTTTTTGCTTTTGGGCAGCCGCCAGCGCACTTTTCCTGAGCTTAACTAATCGTAACAGATTTTTTTCACAGTCATGATGGGAGCGATAAAAAATGAGCAAGAAAAGGGACACCCTTGGGCGGAGACGTCTGCCTGGCCATATCCTGCGGCCTGCCAATTAGAACCCTTTGTTTGCCTGCATCTCCTACACAAGACGGCGCTCCAGCTCTATCTCGACGCACTTATCTCCATAATAAAGTCGTAACAATTAATTGCGCGACCTTTTCAATGGCTGCGACTTAGCCCAATCTGAGGCTCCTTCTTAAAGATATCCCTCAGACAGCAGGCCAGCCTCTTTATTTTGAGCACCTTTCGCGTGGTTTGACGCATAATTAGTGCTTAAAATTTATTTGACGAGCCTGCAATTAATTTAATGTAATTTTCCATTTTCAAGTTGGGCTTTTGAGTGAGCTTGATGCGAATTTAGACAAGTTCTAAATTTCTAGCATATGCCAGATATAAATTAAATAAATTATAAAAAATAAAATTACAATTTAAGAATATATTATATTCACTAGATTTCCCTATCTATTCTCATTATGCGATACATGAAATAAAGTCTTTTAAATCTGTTTGGATCTCAGATTGATCTATATATTACCAAATACAGCTGTAATTCCATCTGGCGAATTGAGTTGCTCTTTGAGAGCGACTCCATTGGCTTTTTTATACATATTTAACTGCGGTTTGTTTTGAGTGAATTCAACTGTAAAGGTTAAAATTATAAATGTGCAAATGACTCATCATAAATAAAATTAATAAAAGGCACGCAGTCAAAAGCCGAAAGCCAAAGGAACCTGGACAGGGGCATTGAGACAGCGAGGCCTTCATTGAGAAAAAGTACAACGCATCAACATAAATATTATGATAAATGGTTTGTTATAATCATAATCCGCAGGGGGTAAGTTTCGAGTCGTGCGATACGCATTTTTTATGCAGCGACGCCCCCGAACCCGAGCCAGAGCCCGAGCCAGAGTCACAGCACGACAGGGCACTGGAACTGGAGCTGGCAAGGATATTGAAGCCGGAGCTGAATGAACTGGCGCAACATATGGTCGGTGGGTGGATTATACAGATGGCGCACGAATGGATTTGGATTGCGATTCGATAGCCGCGTCCAACAGGGGCGTACAACAAGTCGAGCCGAGTGGCGTCGAGTGGTGCTGTTCCTTTTTTATTGGTTTTGCTAACTGATGGTCGCACTGGGATTAAGAGCAGAGCACGCTTTTGCATACACAGGCACGGAGCCATGGAGCTTCAAGATTGAGATACTCGCTCGTATCTCACAGATACTTTGCGAACCGAGCATCTTGCGGGGCTATAAACGCTTTGTATCTCAACTTCGTCTACAGTGCATTAAATGAGGAAGCTTTACGCCTAATTAACACTTTATTCAAGTCGAAATTTTATTGTTTCAATTATGTGAGTGAATAAGCTCCCGAGGCAGCAGCAGCAGCAGCAAATTGACAAAACAATTTGTATTCGAGTACGCACACATGAGCAACACACACGCACACACACACATACAGCCATAGACAGAGCAGCCCAACGGGGTATGTACTTCAAGCCCAAAACAACCATTTAGCACACACCCAGGCTCACACATACACTCGCACTCACACTCACACGTTCTTCTCGCGAACACATTAAAATTCAGGATGTGAAGCAAACGATTTGCGGTGAGCGCAACAAGCGGGTTAAAGCATGAAGGACCAGAGAGACGACTGCAATATACATATCTATAGATATCTCGTACTTATATTGTATATACTTGTTGGTAATTAATTAATTCATTTTAAAGGCTAAATTGAAAAACTCCTGTACAACGTATGAAAGTAAAAAAAGGTGTAAGAAAAAAATAATACATCGGGAGCTAAGAAAACGAGCTAATGAAAATTATTTATTGTAGTCTTCTACTGCTGTAAAAGTTGCGCGAGTGTAGTAATAGAGAAGTATTAGCAGAGAGACAATGAGGGAAGAGATGAGAACAAATTAAAACTCCATCCATATATATTTATTTGAAGATATATATTTTCATAATAAACAAATGTGTATTTAATCCTTTTGATGTGTGCAAATGAAATTTGTATATTTTAACTAAAGCAAGATCTGGGAAAGCATTTTCGTCAAAATATGAAGGCTTCAACTTATCAGACAAAATGTATTTTCTATATGATAGAAATGTATATTAATTCGAATAAAATAATCATGTTGTTTTCATATGAACTTTCAGATTCATATACTAGATTAAGCAACATTTGTATATCTGAAATGTGGACTTTATAGATCAGCTCTAGTTAATATATGAAAGAATATGATTAATTTCAAGTGTGAAGCTCTATTTAAATAATTTCCTCTCAACAAGTGCGATCTGAAAAATGTTTATGAGTGATTCTTCAAAATTTTTGCTTTCATTCAATATTAATTAATTAACAGTTGATAAACTAATTGGACTGCCCAGTTCATGGCTCTACATATGTACTTAGCAAAAGGTAAGCTTAGCCCGGCGCATAAGTTTCACTTGTAATGATTCTCGGACTCTGTGGGATACTGCCAACACTTCTAAACGGATACAACCTGACATGGAATTAATTTGACAACATTAACAAATTAAACTGTTAAACCAACACACACACACACACATACACAAGCATTTGTCGAGTCAACTGAAAGCCGTAACAACGTGCTCAGTTCTCTCTCCTTCTGTCCATTTGTCCGACTTGCCGCCCGCTTGGCAAACGGACAGACATTTACAACATCATTTGTAATCCATATCGCTCAGCATGTAGTCCCACAGTCCCAGTCGAATGCCGCCCTATGTGAATCTGTGTGCGTGTGTGTGTGTGTGTGTGTGTGTGTGTGTGTGGGAGCTAAGATGTATTGACCCTTCAACAGATTCTGTGCAAGTGGTGTCGGCGCTTGGAATGCTTCACGCTATTTATTGGCTCACTTTCACTCGGACGTGGCGTAGTCGAGGAACTCTGCTGGGCTTATCCTTCCTCTAGTTGGCAATGCTCAGGATTTGCTACAGAACCCGCCCTCACGCTCGCTGGGGAATCGGAGATGTCGCTGGCCACGTGTTCGGATTTCAGGTTACACTTGAAGCGTCTCTCCGATTAGTGGTTGCCATTTGTCAACATGATGGTGTGGTTGATATTAATTGGCATTGTATTAGTCGAAGTCTATGTTGGCCACACACAGTCACACATACACAGACACACACACACCCAGTAGATATTTATTACACCTAAGCAACCTTGTACTAAGTGCGCTTTAAGATATATCATTTGTTTTTATGAAGTTGTTTCAATGTTATTGCCATCTTAAGCTGATTTTGCTTCATTACAATATTTAATCGCAGTTTTAGCTAGTTAATGTCTAATAATTGTTTGTATAATGTATATTTGCCATTTTAGAAAATATGCGAAAAAAATGAATTTCAACTTGAAATTTGAAATCTAATGAAAACAAGGTCTTCAAACTAAACCCAGTTAATTATATAAGATGGAAAATTCTATTGAAATGTTTGAGAGAAGCAAAGAATTTTTAGATTTATGTTCTTTTTGCAAGAAGTTACATCATGTATAGAAATTTTATGTATAAGTAGATTATACATTGTAATATACATATATAATCCATTCATTTCTTTTCATAGCCCACATCTTATTCAACTCTTTCAAATTCGATTCGCTGCAATTGCCTTAGGTATCGCACATAAGCGCTCGACTTGTGTCCAGTTGTGATTAATTGAAAGTTGGGGCAAGTGAATGGCATTGGCATGGAGTAAATGTTGATAATGCCCGAAATGTGGCAGCAAATGCAAAATGCGCTGCAAATTTCCCGGGGATATACTTTTACGTATGCGCAGCAGCAACAACAGTTGTAACTGCAACTTGCAACTGTTGCAACTGTTGTGCGCTGTCTGCTCGTTCCCATTCCCATTCCCATTCCCATACCCATACCCATACTTATATGCATTGGCCAGCTTTCGGCTGTTTTCCTGCCCCCTTTATCGAGACAGGGGACAGGAAAAATATTTTGACAAATGAACCTAAATAACAGGTTGCAATCGCTCAGAGGGGTAGAGAGGGAGTAGCTGTAGCAGCAGCAGCAGCAGAGGCAAGGGAGACTGAGCATATGCGTGGCCCTGGACCGACCCTGTTCTCTGGATAGAGTGGACCTGTACCTGTGCCTGGACAGGAAAACGTATGGCCAGACAACCTTGATACCTCATTTATTTTAAAACGTTGCGGCCAGAGTCGCAGGCTGGCCTCAGTTTCTGCTGCACAAATGAAATCGACACATCGGGGTAAAAAAAAAAAAAACAAAAACCGAAAACTAAAAGAGAAATAAAAAAGAAAGAACTAAACGCGTCCAGCTCGAAGACGTTGAGCTGTATTCATCAGTCGCACTGACGAATCGACGTCGGGCCACTCTCGAAAATTGTTACAAATGATCGCAAATAACAGATCTTTGCCGGTCTTTGGGCCTGGTTCAGGGCGCGTTGCCCATCAAAGGAGCCGAACCCAGAAACAGAAACAGAAACGAAGACGAAGGCGAAGACGAAGTTGCATTGCGTGTGCTGGGCTGATCGAGTGAGCTACAAATGAGATTGGCCAGCTGGGATTGGGATTGGAGTGATTGGGACCCGGAATCTTTATAGTGGGAAACTGGACTTGGGTACGGGAGGAGGCTGTGGCTATGGCAGCGGCGCCGTTCGATGCTAGGCTAAATTGCACTGATTTCTTGATTAATGAGAGCTTTGCATTTTCCAGTTAAGCCCGCTGCTGATTGCGGCTTTTCATCTCGCCGTTGCAAGTACACCAGTTGCAAGTGGCAAGTGGCAAGTGGAGAGTGGCAAATGGAGAGTTGATTGCAGCTACTGCTACCCTAGGTGAAGACTTGATTGTGGCTATTGATGGTTTGGCACTCACCCTGATTGTTGTTGTTGCTGCTCTTGCGCGATGTCTTCTTCTCCTTCATCCAGGGATACTCGGGCACCGAGTCCATCCCATCCGGTGTCTGTGGCACACCGCCGACATTAACCGGATATCCGCCACCGACACCGCCTCCAACACCAACACCAACACCAACGCCAACGCCAACAGGTGTGCCAATTTTCGGGCTCTCCGGACTCAGGTGATTGAGAAACTCGGCCATCGAGGGCTGAGAGTTGATGAAGCCCCCCTCGGTGGCCATCCAGTAGGCGGTGTCGGCGGCTCGTTTATCACAGTTCGGTGCCATTTTGTTGACAAGCATCACCGCTGGCGGCGGTCCCTGCGGTCCTTGGGCGCCCGCTCCGGGCACAATTGGCACCGACCCCGTCGTCTGGCCCGTTTGCACCTGTAGGGGATTCAGGGGCGACTCGGATTTGATCTGAGCGCCCATCGGGTTGGTGTCCAATGTGCTGCACACCTCTTGCATTGTAAACTAGCTTTTGTTATGGATTTTTGTTGTCTATTTCTTTTAAACTTGTTTGTTTCAACTAATGTTCTTTTATTTGTGCATCTGAAAAGAAAAATTTCAAATATAATGTCATTATTATAATTGCATTATTATTGTGTTAAATCACTTATGAAACTTATATATTCACATTTCTCCAGTTTTCGTTGTAGATTATAGAATATAGTTTAGTAATAAATTATTGTTGAATACATAAAAAAAAAAACTGTTTTGTAAGAAAAATCTAATTCAATAAACGCTATGAAAGCTATTTTATTTATGTTAAAAGGTTTTAGATAATAGCAAGTACACCATGTTATCAAAGAAAAAAGGATGTTGTAAACAATTTTTTGTATAATTGATTATTAAACACTAATAAATTATAGTTTCTTCAAATTTTTATGAATAATTATATTGCCAATTTATTGCTCACTTTGTTTTTGCTTTTCATTTCTTAAATAAAATGGCCGACGGAAAACAAATATCCATTTAAATTCTATGGAAAAACTACAATCAATTCTGCCTTAGGAAATGCCGCATAAAACGAAATAAAATTTAGTTGGTTTGCATGCAAACCTATCATTATTTATAAAAATATATTTCTTAGGCCTAGAAAAAGTGGCAATTTACGTAAAGTAGACAAAAACACCACAATGTATATTAAAATGCTTACAAAAACAGTTTAAATGAACTTAAAAAAGAGCTGATTAAAGGGAACATCATATATTTGTTAAATTCCGCAAGCAACAAAAAAATAATAAAATAAAATAAAATTGATATATGCAGGCAAAATTAATTAAATATATATGAAATAATAATATAAATAATAAAAAACGTAGATAAACAAAAAATGAAAAAGGCACAAAATAAAGATATTATTTTTAGCCATAGAGACACCACGCACCATTTCTAGAGCCCGCTGTGACAGTTCCGCCTGCAAAGTAAGTTTTCATAGGTTTCCATTTTGTGCGCGATGTTTTCGTTTTTTCTCACATTTTTAGCACTTTGACACAATGCGGGTTTTTGACATATTTCTGCGTGTAGAGCGGCACGTTTAAACTATGCGAATCGAGTACTATCTAATTGAGTACTGTATATATTATTATGTGTGTTTTCGAGAGATATTTACGAACAGGGTCAGATAAGACCGCCAAGCAGGCACAAAGTTGTCAGCGGCAAGCGCGACGCGTTGCTCCGACTATTTCGATGGCGATGGCGATGGCGAACGCTGGTGCTTAGCCAAGCGAGACTGTGGCAGTTGTTCCATCATGTCGAATTGCCAGCTACAGCTACAGCTACAGTTTTACACACCTTGGCACCCATGGCGACGCGAGTGCCAAAACAACAATGGGAACAGAGCACAACACGACGGACGCACGATAATGCAATAGTTAGCTACGCGGCACAACGGTGCGTATGCGTAACGACAATTTCAGTTGAAGTTTTGCTTGTGAGCTGAGCTAAGGGCCTGGCAAAGCGACAAAAAAAAAAACACCGAAGCTGATCTTGCAATGGCCAGAGTACATTCACACATACACACACATGCGCGAACTCACACACGCACACACACACACACAGTTGCACTGCAATTTGTAGTTACAAGTTACACTTTTCTACACATTCGCGCCAACTATGTGCTGCCTGTATAGCTGTCTCTCTCTGGCCTGCGGCGTAGGCTCTGGTCTCGCGTATCGGTGCGCAGAACCGGTTTCAGTTGTTTTTGTTGCGGCCGCGATGGCTGGCTTTTGCCGTTAATATTTGTTATTTATTTCAACTAAATAATATGCACTATTTTATTGCACAATTCGCACAGAAAGTTTTTGGGTTTTAGCTAAATGTTTCGACTGATATATTAGTTATTCACGTCAAGACTATTCAGACTCAGAATCGCAACTCTCCCTCCGGTTTGGGCAATACGACGCTGCTTCGTGCGGCACGACACTTAGCCAACCATTTCATCCAATAGCACCGAACGCACTGAAACTTGTCCGCACTTGTCGCAAGGAGTGGCCAAGAATGAGCATATTGGACGACTGTGTATTCAAAGATGAGCGCCACAACCACCAATCAGAGGGGCGTGTCCAAAGCGGCTTGTGTGGTGCATGCATGTGTTGGTTGTGTTAGTTGTGTTGGTTCTGTTGCTGTGGCAGAGCTAGCGGCAGAGCACAATGAAAGTTGGGGTGGTTTCGATAGAGCGGAGAGATGTGCTCGTGAACGCTGAAGTCGTGCTCCGAACGAAATGGTGTGAATTAGAAGTCAGTCACTTATCGAAAACGTGTGGAATATGATGATATAAATAAAAATAAGAATTCCTTAAATTGTAATTATTATTAAAAAAAATAATAATAAACATTTTTATTACATTATATATTTTAACTCACATTAAAGATTTCTCAATGGAGTCAACCTCATATCAACATATCAGCAGTACTTTTTATAAAACAATAATATGTTAATAACTTATTTTCTGTTAAATAAATTCTTGTTTACTTCTGCTTAACATTATTGTTGTAGCTGTTATCGCTAGATCTCCACGGCTCGTGCAATGATAAGCGGAGAGCGGAGACGTGCATGCGCAATGGAGATGGCAAATGTAGTTGCCGGGCCAGTCGCACTCAGGTAGGCGATAGAGCCACTCATACACTCGTTCACACTCTCCGCACTCACTCACACACGCGCACACAGTCAGCGGCTGCAAAGTCTCCGCATCGCTGATTGGTCGCAGTGCATGTGTATGTTTGCGTCGCTCTGTCGCTTTGTGGCGTTGTCGCCGGCGCTGTCTGCCTGTTCAGCGGCTGCAGCGCTGTTTTTACGGTAAACGTGTTGCGTGTGACGGAATTTATTTGGTTTTTGTTATTTACACATTCCGTCGCAGCAGTGACGAGCTTCCATTTCTTTTTGCTCTCTCTATCTATCACTCGTTTTTGTTCTGTTTTTATTTTTGTTGTCTCCGGCGTTGCGTATTTTTGACATTTCGCTTTGCACGCTGCGCGTCTTTCTTTTTGTTTTGAGCGCTTCTTCTTGTCTGTCTAACCATCATGTTGTCAATCTTGGTGGCATTCGTTTTTCTGCTGCCTCACTTTTTCACATTCTGTTTTTATTGGCAACCGCTAGCTGCGTTCGTCGTGTGTTTCATTTATGCTGCACAGTAGCCGATAAAAGTTTACGAACGAGTAGACTAACTACACTGTTAACAATTTGAGTAGACAACTTATAAGAGAATGACATATATTTTTCTACAATAGCCAAGCTTTATTGAAATATTTAAGATAAATTATTTTTATTATTATACTATACTATATTAAAACATAAACTTTATTATTAATTATTGAAATGTTTATGATTTATTTTCTTCTACTTTTTAGTATTTCTTTTTTAATTTGTCTATACAAAATTCTTACTTTTAAATTTATGACAGAGTAACTAGAACAAAAATCGGGGTTATAACCCGATAATATCGTATTTAAAATTCTAGTGATTATTGGAATGGATTTGCAAATATAAGAAATAATCTTGTTTGTAGGTTATTTAGTATAATCTTAAAGATTGGTTAGCTGTTCTGATCTTTCGTTATTTTGCATAATCCTTCGCACGATTCCCTTTTCTTTTAGCCTCTTACCATAAAACTTTATATATGGTGAGGTGGTAACACATGCACCGGGCGAGAGCTCAATTTTTATTGGCCGGGATTAAGTTTAGCCCGCGATTTTGTTCAGGTAATCAGGTAGCTGAGGGTGAAGTATTCACAGTTCTTTTGGAAAACCCGCGGAAAAACCAATTTATTTCTCTTTCATATCTGAGATAAAGGTGAAAATTTACCTGTTGGCTCTTTATGGCAGAGGTCTGCAAGCAAAACTTTCCATTTTTAGCTTAGCTTTAACATTTTGTCGATAGGAGCAATTTTTGGCTAGAGTTACACATTTGATCTCCTGAGTAAATATATTTTATAAAGTACTATCAATCGTTAAAAGTATGGTTACCATATAAAATCTAGATGAAATAATATATAATAAGTCATAATGAAGATAATAAGTGCTTTCAAAATGTGAAATATTTCTATTTAACTCTCAATAATAATTGATTAATTTCGTTATATTTATCATTTTCAATCATATTGTCGATATCATATATTTCTACTCTTTTTCCCACAAGTTCTCCAAAGCAAATAATAATTTGTAGTACTCTGGTGAACATTGGAGTACAATTACATTTTTATACCCTGAACCCATTGAAAATGGGAAATCAGGGTATAATGGTTTTGTTAAAATGTATGTAACAGGCAGAAGGAGGCGTG